GATGACCGCTTATCCCTTCGGTTCGCCAAGGCAGAAACATCAGATTGAAGACTGAATCTACAACGTTCCCTCCCAAATCCCGTGCCAGCGTATGGTGTTTGCAGCAAAATCCGTCCAGGCATTGCATCAGTTCATTCTTGACCTATGCGGAATATTCAGCCGATCGGTTAAGCAATTAGTAGCTGTTTCGTTTTTCTTTCTGAAACATGTGCAGAACATTCCCACACCATCGCAGCAGTACGGCAACGCACTCTAAAATACCTGAATGCCGAACCATGTGAAAAGACTTTATATCAACGATTCTTCTGAGAAAATTAACCTCAGCAGCTAGTAGCCAAGATCGAACTTTTTCACTCATAGACCACAGCTCATGACCATAGATAAGCAAGCGTTCGATCAATAATGACGACCTATTCTGCTACGACAGAATTAAGTGACGCCCATCTCATTCATTGTTAATAGCTGTTTGCTGCTGCACTAAGATCTACGGTCGTTTGCCACTTCCATTTATTATGGAACAAAAGAAAAATACACCAGCTGAAACGTGAATTGCATGAAATTAACCAACGCTCAAAGATAATCTATGAAACCACTGACTAATCAGTGCCAAAAATCACCTACTTCTACATAAGTGGTTTCGTTTTTCTATTAAAAAAAGTATCCTAAAAGAAAGATTTCCTTGCCAACTGGATGTTGACTATCTGAACCTATGAGATTGAAGATGTTAGGTTACAGGGAGCGCTTCAAGCAGAATTTCAGTCATCTGACTCAAGCTGACGACTATGGCGCAGATTTTAATAAACAGAACGTTCTGCACTGTCCTGGACATTGCGGTACTCAAAGAAGAAATCTTCATATTTTTAGTACAGGCGAGGGAAGATGGCGAATTTTTGAAAGAACGGGCAGCCACTGCAGCAAACTTAAAAGTATGGCAGCAGTACGATCACAATGGTGCTGTCAAGGAACAAGGCAAGGTTTCGAGGGTGGCTGTTCTGAGGTTAAACGGATGCGCTGCATTCGGGCATGAAGTCATGAAGTATACAGAAGTCAGAACCGACTCCTGTGTGGTACGCTGGTGTTTAAAATTTTGAGTTTGAGCGGATGTACTCAGACTATGACAAAATTTTTCGGTATGGAGAAAGGATCAACGTTGCATTAAAAGCCCGTCAACAAAGGAGAGTGAATACAATGTTTCGTCATGAAATTTAATGGATAATGACATTTCGAGAGCAAAAATTTTTGTTTCATAATCATTTCGTGTAGAAAAGATCCTCTGACACATAAACAACTCAACCGAATGAGTAGACTGATGAACAGTCGTGCATCAGCAAAAATCGATTTACTGTTATACTTTACACACATTTAAAAAACAGGCTTACTTCTCCAAGGACCGGATTCGGAACATTAGACCTCTTGAGAAAAGCCGCTGCTACGTTCGCGTCGATGAACGGCTGATTCTTCGGGTTAGCCTTAAAGCAACACCTGAGACTCAATGAGATTTTAAAACCGGTTACGGCAAAGGAGGAATAATACCTCGGCATAAAGCGATTCGTAAAACTGTAGATGCCGCCTGCAGATCTAAAATTTCACGCATCCCGTTACAAGATGGAACAACGTTATGCTTTCATACCTCCTCAATGCCCGGAAACATGACTGAAACCCGACGACCTAGCAATCTACGAGCAGGGCTCTCAACCTAAATACAAAAACGCTAAAAATTAAGACAATAAGACATAAATTACGCGTTTTACGGAAATTTGAAATCTATAACGTCTAACTACAGAACCAAACTTCATGGTACACTGCACAACGCAACTGGTCCAAAGCTACCAGGGGTACCCTTAAGTAGACAATGTGTCTAAGGAGTCTCAACCTATTCAGTGCCAGATGAACCAATTAAGACTTGACCGGATGTAGTAATAACTGCTTATGATAATTACTAACGATATTTCACGAACCTTACGCTTTTAACTATATGCTTGGGCAAAAAAATCAAAATATTAATTGACACGCCGGAGTAAGTTAATCAGCGTATAAATATTCTGTTATCTGTATAAATTCGCATAAAACTGCATGAAACAGCTGTGTTAATTACAAGTGTAAACAGAAATATAAATACAAAATCGCCAATATCGATAACAGATCATATAACACAGTAAATTATATTTTATTAGCACAGCGCTTAACAAAACTATCATTCAATAATTTCAGTGCTTAAGAAAAATATATACATATGGAAAGAGTCTGTTCCAGATAAAGATAGATGATCTTTTGCCGAAGCTCACACTCTGGCACAGGATCGGGAACGTTGGAAGCTGCGTCTGACGCGTCTGCCTCCGCCAGTCGAAAGAAGCGGCGATGGAAGATGAAGGAAAAATATATCCTCAGGGCAGCTAAGACCTAGTATCAGAGAAAAAGCGAGAACAACATTAAAAAACACTCAAAACAAAGTAAAGAACAAAATCCCAACGTCGTTTCTGCATCGCTAAACATACATTTTCCTTGAAAGACAACTACTGTCATTCAGAATGAAGCACGACGATTCTCCCACCCCGTCAAAACTCCCGACATATGCTAAATTTACAACTCGCGTAATTCGTCTCAGCAGTAGTGAAGGCGATTTCCTGTCTAACAAGTAAGAATCTGTCATAATCCAGATATATTTATTACCAACATTTTTTAATTCGTGAAACAAAGGCATAAATCTCTTTCGATCCGAAACATATCTTCTCCCAGAATAAAAGCTTCTGGTTTCCGATAAATCAGCCTTATGCAGAATGAAATTACAGTTAAAAATTAAAGGTGCATTGCATAATTAGCAGTACATAGAATTTTAATATATTTTTTCTAAAACCTGCAATAATCACCACTCACATAGCATATGTCCAAGACAAGCTTCTGTTCCGTTCGTTAGAGGTGTTACCATACAGCGATTTGCAGGAACAAGTTACAGAAATTTATTTGAACAGGTTTCTGATGAAATGTGTATTGAATTCAGACGGGCATGATTTATGGAGCATTTTATTCGTTATACAAGAGGCCCAATAAATTTTGCTTATCGTGAGAGCAAAACGTGCATAATATACATTTCTCTATCATAAACTTTATATGATCAGCTTTGGCATTTAGTCGCGCAGCGCACTGTAATGCAGTTTTAACACTACTGCACATGCACCCTGCCCGTACTGTTGTATACCGTTGAAAAACTGGATGCGCATAAGCTATTAGTTATTTACATGATGAATTAAAGTTTTTTCTTTAATGCATTGCTTCAGGTCAGAAAAAGCAGTCTATGTACGCTCTGCTAGTCCTTTGAAATGGTGAACATGAAGCCTTCGAATTTTTTAAGAGATGCCGATGGATTCGCTTCTCATCAAATGCATTTGTATGGTCTGCCCACTGTTTGCGCAATAATAAAACTAACGTTTGTCACTGTGACATGTTCACGAATAATACTGATATTCTGCACGGTATTCAATCCCGTAGACGCCCAAGAGCACTTAAATATTTTATTGGTCTAACTCTGATGCTGAAAATATTATTGAATAAAACATTGCGAGGCGTATTGGAGAAACAATGCAAATATTATCCAAAATTTTATGACCTCTGAAAACGTCAAGAGAGAAACTATTAGTCAAAAATTTTGTCACCAGTTTAATGGTTGAGATCCGGCACCTGCTACTCTGTTAACTTTTAAAATTGTAAATTATGCGTCTTTTTGGATACCAACCGAATCTATACAGCGTTCAGCCGAGTTAGAACCGGCTGGGAATTTCGGTGGAACACTTCATGCTTGGTAGTAAATTCTGTCACTGAAGTCAACGAAGGCATCACAAGAGGTTACGGCAAGTAGGCAATTTACTTGTCTGAAGAATGAGCAAGTGTATTAGTGTCAGGTCGGCTTATTTTTACTTCGAGCTCCAAAGTCTAAGCGTGATATATGGTGTCGGTTTTTAGGTTACTGTTTTCAGTCCAAGACCTTAGTTAAACAGTGTTGCTGCTGCTAACAGTGCGGAAAGTTTCAAAAAACTGATAGTTCAGCCTGTAATATGCATCAGTCGAAAGAAAAAAACTAGTTTAAACATAGTTGTTTAAATTGCAACGGTTTCATTAAATTTGCTTCCGACAAACTTACAGTAGTATCCTGTCAACCAACGTGCCACATCGGCTAGTCACATGTCAGATAACGGCTGACAGGTTGTTCAGTTTTTTGCACCATTTTATGACCAACTCACGCCAAAATTTTCATAGCCATTTTCCGTCCGATATGGCGTTAGGGTTGGCTATATTTTGACATGGTCAATATGAACTTAGACTAAATTGTTTGCCTACAAACAGCAACCTCATTTTGCTGCTGATACGCTTGGAATTCATCTATTAAACGTTGCCAAAACAATGCACATTCAGTGGAGTTCTTCCGTCTTGTATACGTATGGCTTCGTGAAGGAGTTCAGACCAGTGGAGCCATTTCTTACGCCCTTCCTCGTCACAACTTCAAAAAACCTTACTTCAGAGCAATTGTACTCAGAGGTGTATCCAGTATGGACATATAGCTACCTCGTCTTTCTGGTACTGGTACTCCTGCTCAGCGATTTGCTCAGACATCAACCAGTGATCGTATGCGAAAGCGTGGCTTACGCCGCCACCTGGCTGCTGCTGACCTGGGGTCACTCGGTCGCTCTCATGCAGTTGATGGAGGTAATGTACGGCATCGCGACAGCCACTGAAATCGCCTACTATGCCTACGCTTACACAAAGTACGATTTGTCGTGTTACAAGCGCATCTCCAGCAATTGTCGAGGGGCGGTCGAAGCCGGCAAGTTCTGTTCCTACCTGCTCAGTCAACTAATTATTTCGTTTCGCTGGGGCAGCTACATACTGCTAAACTACATTTCGCTTGCAAGCATGTTCTGTGCGTTCATCGTTGCTCTTCTGTTACCGCCGATCCACAAGAAGGACATCCAAAACGAAGAGCAACAAGATGCGGTTGAGACGTTATCACACTGGAAATGCGACGCAGTTGCGAACTATTACAAACAAATGTTTTTTAGCTGCCGGAAGATTTACTCTAATGCGTTTATTCTGAAATGGTCATTATGGTGGTCTTTAGCCACTTGTGGATTTTTCCAGATCGGAAATTACATCCAACTGCTATGGCAGTCTCAGCTAGCCGAAGGCCAGGAACTATACAATGGGCTTACGGAAACGGTCAGCTGTTTTCTAGGTAATCAGAATATTAAAATACAACGAGAACAGGGAGAGACTCATCAAAAACGTCGCTTTCAAGAACGAATTTCATCAAACAAGTACCGTCGTCCGTAAGGTTGCACGTATAGAAAGGGAAACCTTTGCGTCGTGGTAAGACATGGTGTAGATATAACGCAAATTCAGGAAATATTGAAAATAATCACATTTTCCGGCACTGATAAGGGACGTACTAAAGTCTACTCAAGTAAAGTAACAAACGAATCATAACTATGAGGCTATGAACGAAACTAAAACATCCTGGTCTTCACATAACAGTCAGCATGAGTACAAAGGAACAAAAGTTTTCTTAGCGTTTCGATCCAAACGTTATTCTTTGATGATTAACACTTGTGTGAAATTTCCCGTCTGGACTTTGACCTTGACCCTTTTCATATTTATAACCACTGAACGCGAAAGTCTCTACGTATTTCTTGGTAAACTTCTTTTGGAAGGCTATTGTATGATTGCTACCAGGAACGTTGAAATTAAGTTGTATCTGTTTCGTTTTTATGGTTCAGTTAATTTCCCTGATTACGTTTAGGAACCGTCGCGGTGCTATGCACGCAGTTCATCAACGTCGCATGGGACATCTACGGCGATGCGATTCTGTCCGTGTTGAGTGCAGTTGACTGTGCTTTGCTGTATGTGATGAGTTGCAGCTGGACCATCGCCCTCACTTACGTCTTCTATGTGGTCTATCGAATATTGTACAAGATTATGTTTACCGTGGCTATGTAAGTTGTTCTATTTATTGTCGTAAAATTATGGCAGGAACATGGCATGTGTAAAGAAATGACACGAATGTCGGAAGCCAAGGCTGATCCGTCTTCAAAGATAGAATGGGATCTGCGCGGCACTCTTTTCATACTGGTCTGCATGATTCATGGATTGTCTTTGACGTCATCAGTTCATGTGTCGCTGACATCCGCGCCAAGATCGCGATTGACCGAGTCGGTTGCGTGGATTAGTAGTGTGCTTCTTTGACATTAAGGGGAAGATGTCGG